AAGACACCACTTAATGAGGAAAGCAAAAGGCTTTCCCACCAAGGTGGAGAAGGAGCTGAGGCTGTGCAGTCTGGTCGCTCTTCTGCATTGTAGCTAGGGTAACAAGGCGAGGGAAGAATCAGAATGGATTGCTACATCCAGCAAGAATATATCAGAAAAAAACCACACAGGCTGTAAGATGGACATAGAAGAAGCAGGTGTTGTTTCTTTATGCTAGCAGTAAGCATGTGGACACTGACATTAAATGTACCATTTATAGTTACTTCTTAACAGACTAAACTCAAGTTTGCCAAGTGAGTGGGGAGAATAGGTGGAAGGGAGGAGAGGCCAGTTAGTGTGTACAGTGCTATTGTTTGAGAGTCGAGGCTAATTCCGGTGCCATGTATCACTATGGAGTGGATAAGGAACAGAAATCCATTGTGTCCCTCAAAATAATGAGACTAGAGACTTGTCAGCAAACTCATCATAAATTAATGAGAAAGCTTAAAAAAATCTCCACATCACTTCTAGGATACATGTGGAAGCTCTTGTGTTAAGAGAGACTGTGAGACTTAAAACACATCTTAATGAACTTAAAACGACATAACAGCAAGTATCTTTTCCAAGCACAATGGATTAAAACTAGAATTTAGCACAAAGAAAACCGGAAAAATGACAAATATGTGGCCATCGAACAACACAACTGGAACAAGCAATGTAAGAATCACAGGGAAAGTTAGGAGACATCCTGAGAAACGGGAACAGACAACATTCCTAGCATTTATCAGGGTCAGGCGTGGTGGTGGTGGGTGCCTGGCATCCCAGCACTCCAGAGGCCGAGGCAGGAGGATCAGGATTTCACAGCCAGCATTGGTTACACAGTGAGATCTTGTCTCCAAAACAAAAACTAAACTAGAGACAGGGAAAGCAGAACCAAGAGACACACAGAGGGAAGTGCCCCAACAAAGCAAATCTGACTTTTAAGGAGGACTCGTTTATCAGTTTGTCCTTCACCAGTTACTCTTTGGCATCTTAAGTCTGCTATCCCTAGAGGCTAAAAATTCCTACTTAAAGTTTTTTTTTTTTTTTTTTTTTTTTTTTTTTTTTTTTTTTTAAACATGGTTTTTCCTTTTTATGTTTAGTCTTAGGCATTTGAGTTAATCGTGTGGGTGTGAGATAAACATGGGGGGGGGTTGTTGATCACCATAGCTGTAAAAGGAGTTTGAAATCCTGGAGACCAGTTCCTCCCATTTTATTCTTTTTTGAAATTGCTCTTAACTTTTTCTTTTTGTTGCCTCTTCGTATGAACGGTAGAATCCAATTCATGGACTTGGCACGTTATATATTATTTCTTTCCCTTTTTTCTAGGGGCTGGGGGTGGGGGCAGGGTCTCATACTATAGTCCAGGCTGGCATTGGAGCCCACCATGTAAGACAGGCTGACCTTTGAACTGGTGGCAATCCTCCTGCCTCAGACTCCAAAGTGCTAGGAATAGAGGGGTGTGTACTCAGCTTCTTTCATCTACTGTTCTGTAGTACCAAGGGCTGAACGAGGGCCTCCTGTGTGCTGAGTACTCCCCCTGTGTGCTGAGTGCTCCCCCTGTGTGCTGAGTAAGTGTTCTTCCTGTGTGCTGAGGAAGTGCTCCCCCACTGAGCTACACACCTAGCCCTCTTCTACCTTTTATTTTGAGACAGGGTCTCACAAGGCAGCTGTCCTTGGCTTACTAAGGAGACTAAGCGAGCCTTGCACTTTTGATCCTTCTGTCTCAGCCTCCTGTGTACTCAAAAAATTTTTTTTTCTTGTGAATCTGCTGATGTGGTCAAAAGATTAACACCTTGACTCATTTTTGAATAGTAAAGTAAGTACAGGCTACTTGGCTGTGAGATGTAATTCTTTTTATATATTGTTGGATTTTATTTGCTATGAAATTTACATTTTATGAGGGATACTATCTTTTTTTAATACTATCATCTGGTTTTGTATCAGTGTGGTATTTACTTCATTAAGTAATCAGGAAATGCTTTCTTCTTTTTATTACAGGGAAGAGGCTATGTAGAGTTAATCTGATCTCTCTGTCTCTCTCTGAAATATGTGAACTCTCGGGGTGTCCTGTTTCAGCCTCTGACTGCCGAGAGTGCAGGCCTGGCTCATTGTAGAATCCTTATTTATTTACTTTTAATATCTCTCTCTATATATAAACAGGAATGTTTTCCCCCATTTCTTATGCATGATTTTATCCTAATTACTTTTTCAGATATTACTTTAATATTTTATAGCCTAATGTCCAAGACTTAGAATTTCTGAGTCTTGTGCTGTTTTTTTTTTTTTTTTTTGAATTAGGTTGACTGTTTTGGCTAGGGTAATGGATATTGAAAATACTTCATAAAATGCCAGCATATAAAGATGTTATCATTATTTGGAAATAAATTATAAATTTGTCTGTCCCTCCCTCCTTCTGTGTCTTTGTCTGTCTGTCTGTCTGTCTGTCTCTCTCTCTCTCTCTCTCTCTCTCTCTCTCTCTCTCTCTCTCTCTCTCTCTCCCACTCTTTCTTCCTTCCTTGGAATGATTCCCAAGGTTGTTTGCTGGAAGAATATATGATGACCTTGTGGTTTAGTTCTGTTATTTTTAGTGTTCCCTTGGTGGCTTCCAGACATAACATACAACAAATAAGAGAAAAATTCTTCCCCCGAACATTCCATGACCTGATCTTGATTTTAAAATAGTTCTAAGAGTAATAGGGAAAAGATTAATAAAGAATAATGTAATATGCTTATTATAGGGCAGGTTCCAAGCTCAAAACTCAAAGAAATAAGTAGCTAACTTAAAACACAAATGGATGGACTTGAGCTGCCCTTGCTTAAAACCACTTTACTTTACTTAAACTACTCCACACTTTCCTACAAGGAGAGGGAGAGAGATAGACAAGAGTAGCTAGATGCCAGCAAAGGGTGGCTGCTTCTACCTAGTCATTGCAAGCCAAAGGTGGCAGGAGCAGCCAGTATCAACCTTGCCCAGCAGCAGCAGAGCTTATGTCACCCGAATGGGCCTTGTTTCTTTGTTGTCAGAGTATGGTTGAAGTCCAAGGGAAACACCTGCGGCTTTATCCCTGTGCTTGAGTCTTTCAGTTGGGGCCTGAGTATGGAAGTGTTCCAGGAGGCTGTCCTAGCTGCCCTACAGCTTGTCTTAGAGGAGAGAAAAAGGAGAGGCAGAAAAGGAGAGGGGAGCAGGGAGGGGTAGTAACTTAGAGGAAATTACCCATGGAAAACATACTTTTTCTTTTGAAAATGGAATGTGAACCAGTTGAACAATGGTGGGTGGGAAATGAGTGAACGAATGTAATTGCTGTAATTCCTTTGCTCCTGCCTGTGTCCTTTAGGGCTGTGGAGGCTGAGAGCTCATATCCCAGCAACTGCAGCTTGTGTATTTGTATGAGTAAATCTATCTGCGTGCATTGCGTGCATCAGTTACTGGTAATTCACCTGGCCCTTGTGCTTGTCTCCTTTTGGGCACAGTGTCCCTCAGGCCACTTCTACAAGTTATACAAGTGAGAGGGAAGAGTGCCTGTGGGCTCAGGAGGTGGGTCCCCCACAAGCCTACATAGTTTCCTTTCAGGGTGAGCTCACAGGATCAGGGAGAGCATAGCAAGGAGGAAGTGTCATCTGTGCTTACCTGATGCCCAGCTCCGAGCCTGGGCTATACACTGAGCTAGACTGAGGCATTTACAGAGAGCAAGGAAATCTGCTTGCTTACCTCCCAGGGGAAGTGAGAAATACAGAAACAAATGCGAGGGGAGTATGCAGTAGGAGAGTGAGTTAGAGGGCAGCAAGGGGTAGGGACAAGCAGAACTACCATAAGTCAATAAATCGCCTCCGAGGGGTGCACCCTGTGTGAAACAGGGTCCCTGGAAATACACGAGGGTAACAGGATAGGCAGGAGCAGTGAGAACAATGCCTGGCAGGAGGCTGGCAGCTTCAGTCACAGCTCTGCTGAGGAAAGGCCACGTCTTCAGGGCCTCGCTCCTTTATGTAAAGGAACATTTATTCCAAAGGAGTTGAACTTTCAAAACTGTAAGAATTTGGTTCTAAGTCAGGTGAGATTACATGGAGCTACATCGTGAAACTGTCTTGATTCATGGGTTGGAACTATGTCTCTGACTTCTGGCTGAAAATGAAACTGTTCCAAGGCTGAGCATGGCAGCAGAGGGACAGGTTACACATCTGATGGGTCTTGCTGATAGGCCACAGTGTGGCTTGGTCATTGGGGGAGCCGGAAATGTGAGGGCTCAGTAGAGTCTCCAACTGAAGGGTTACCTCCTTCCACCATCCTCCTGCTGCCAGGCAGCACAAGTCTTGGCCCAGTGAAAAACAGCCTCACAGTAGTGCCTGCCTTAGCTTGTCCTGGGGCCTGCGGAGTGACAGGAGGAAGGAGTGGGAGGCAAGGCCTGGCTTGCCTGGTCCCGGGGGTCTGAACCTTTACATAGCAAAGCATGTGAACTTTTCCTTCTGCTGCCTCCAGCTAGAGGCACAGAGGCCGAAGCTGCATTCTGAATGACGAAGGACGTCTGGAGGCATGACTAGCATTTTGACATGAGGAATGAAGAGATGAGGGTTCTGCTGGTTCAAGGAATGCATGTGCGCCCCCCCCCCCCACCGCAAGGGGACCCAGCTGAACTTTAGTGGTCAGGTTGTGGTTGAAATTTTTCCTCTTCAAAATTTTCTCTTGACATAATGTTGATTATGTAATTTAAAAAGAAGGGAAGAATTCCCCATTCGTGGGAGTTAGCAAAAATGTAATTGAATTACAGAGACTATTTGGGAAAATAGCCTCTTACGGTATGAAAGTGGTAGCCAGTTTTGCCTACCAGGACCCCTTATAACATTGTCAAGAGGGCTGGAAGACATGGGAGAATCGATATCCATTCTTTCAGTCAGTGTGTGTTTGCTTGGAAGGGAGTGCCTGGTGAAGCTTTGAGCCTAACTTTTGACCCTTGCCCTAATGGATTTCCAAACATTCTTCTTAGCTCGGATCAGCCACATCCTTCAGGCAGCCTCATCATCGACAAGGAATCTGAAGTTTACAAGATGCTTCAGGAGAAGCAGGAGTTAAACGAGCCCCCCAAACAGTCCACCTCCTTCCTGCTTCTGCAGGAGATCCTGGAGTCAGATGGGAAAGGTAAGGGGCCCCATGGAGACTGTGTCACTGCTAGACATAGGTGAGCACAGCCCAGACTAGGTGGAGAGAGCACAGCTTGTTGTGGAAGGATGGGTCTCCCTGTGCAGCCTGGAGTTTGCCATCCTCGCCAGAGTCTTGGGTTATATGAGCACACACCACCACTTCTGCCTTGACATTGACTTTTTCTTTTTAATTGCAAAACATTTATTGAAAAGAGGAGCAGGGGAGAGGGAGAGAGGACTCAAATGCAGATCAGTTGTTGATTGCTGACGGTAGAACCCATGTAATCTGCATAGAGCTCTGGGTTCTATTTCTAGCACTTTGGGTAAAGGGTTACTACTGGGTTAGGAGTGGAATAGGAGTGTTGGTAGTAGGGGATGGGACAAGAGCGCCCCCCTCTGGATAATATTTTCTGGCTCAGTCTTTACTTGTTCCAGACCCCCTGAATGAGGATGTCAGTTTGGAGGTCTGGGCAGTTTATGGGGCCTCTGGCAGTGAATCAGTATTTATCTCTAGTATGTGACTGGATTTTGGGAGCCCTCTTCATGTTGAGGGATACTCTCCCAGCCTAGACACTCGAGGGAGGGTCTAGGCCCTGCTCCAAATGATATGACAGACTTTGAGGATCCCCTATGGAAGGCCTCAGCCTCCCTGAGGAGCAGAAAGGGGTTGGGATAGGGGTGGAAGGGCAGGGGAGGAGGGGTGGGAGAGGGAACTGGGATTGACATGCAAAAGAAGCTTGTTTCTAATTTAAAATTGGTCTAATCACAATTATAAAAATAAAAAAGGCCTATTTAATATTATTTTACAAGCATGGTTGCTTTGCCTGCATATAGTCTGTTCACTATCTACATGAAGCGCCTGCAGAGGCTAGAAGAAAGCTCTGGTTAAGAGCAGTTGTCAGTCACAGTTTAGGGCCGGAAACTGAACCCAGGTCCTCTGCAAGAACAACAATTGCTTTTAACTACTGAGCCATCTCTCTAGCCCTGGTTGTACAGTATTTTCAAATGTTTTATGCGTTTGTGTGTGTATGTGGGTGATTGCCGAGGCAAGAATGGCGTTGGAGCTCCTGGAATTAGAGTTACAGGGAGTCATTTTGAGTTGCCATATGGGTGCTGGGAACTGAACTTGGTCCTCTAAAAGAGTAGCTAGAGCTCTTAGGCACTGGGTCATATCTCCAGCCCCTATTTTATGTTGTTACAGATTTGTTGTCCAAAATGATGGTTTGATAATGGCATTTTCATTCAAGTATGTCACATACTTTGACCTTATTAACTTCTCCTACCCTTACATACATTAGTTAGTCATATGTACCATATTTTCTTTACCCAGCCATCTGTTAATGGACATTTAGGTTGACTCTATAAGTTGGTTATTGATTGTGCAGACTGTTACATGTTTACATGGATGACGAGGTGTCTGCTATGCTGACCTAGGTTCCTTAGGGTATATTTCCACAGTGGTATAGCTGGATCATATGTTCTATTTTTAATTTTTTGAGGAACCGCTGTACTGATGTACCTAGTGGCTGCCTCAGTTTCCATTCCCACAGCAGTATACAAGGGTGACTTCATACACCATATCCTTGCTAGCATTTGTTGCTGCTTGTTTTTATACAGACAGCCATTCTGAGAGGGGTAGGATGCAATCTCGGCACAGTTTAATTTTCATTTACCTGATGAGCAAGGATGCTGAGCACTGTCCTATTGACCGTCTGTACTTTGGCTCATTTATTGACTAGAAGATGGCGGGTTTTGTTTCTGGTGTTTAATATTTTGAGTTTATTGTATATTCTAGATAGCAATCTCTTGTGAACTTGTAGGCTTTATTTAAACATCTTTGTGCCTGGCCATCTGTTTCTTGCCACACATATATTAGAGAGCTAAGGTTGTGAGTGTGGCCTTTGTGAGAGTCTGTTGGTCTGTCCCTTGGCTGTTTTCATTCCCACACCTTGTTCCGAAGGTGACAGATGAGGAGGAGCATGTGGAGACCGCAGAAGGAAAATGAATCTGGGTGTCTTCCTTCCCCATGGGGCCCCCAGGTTTGCTCTTGCTTTGGGGCAGATGGCCTTTCATTATCATCATGGAGGCCCCAGGGTAGCCACATCCTCAACCCTAGGCTAGTTTCTGAACCATGCTCTAGGCTCAGAAATCACAAAGTGTGCAAAACAGCCATCGCTGTGTCTGTAGTCAGCACTCCATAGTTGTTTTAGATGCTGGTACTTCATCAGCAGGCTCCAGGTCGGCTTCACTGGTCCATGCGTGAGTTCCAATGATTCTGCTGGTCTCAGAAGACAGCTCTCCTTGGAGATGTTGCGTCCCATGTATGTTGAAGTGCTGTTCAATCAGACAGAAGTGAGGTAATCTTCATTCAGTAGCTGAGGCATGTAGCGAGACTGATAACGGGCAGGAAGCTTTTGTCTTCTCATAACTGCTTTGTCTAGCAAGTCTTCAGACTCGTCACCTCCTGGGTACCTTCCATCAGCACCCCCTGCTCCTGTCCCGGGGAGCTGCTTTTGCATACTGACTTGATCCCTATAATGTCTACTCTTCCATACCCCCCTTCCCTAAGACTCAGGCACCTAGCTAACATTCTGCTGTCTATACTCTTTATTTCCCCACAGTGCATACCCATAGTGCTTCAGGGACAGATACCTAGGACAGGAAACTTCCCTGAATACACCTGAATACACTGGGCCCCCTCCTCAGTGGCGTGGATTCTGTAGAGGGACAATTTACACCCCTACAAAAATATAATCAAAGTGCTGCTTTTGTGCAGAACATTGTTGTTTTATTAGCAGTAAGTGAGCTAGACTTTGGTTAAACTCTACTATTAGGTCTGCTTGACAAACAGCTTGAGATCCAACCTGTAGGGATAACAGCTCTGTCAGAACACATGAGAAGGGGGCAGGTGATTTTATCTTGAGTAAGCAGGTGAACACTTCAGTTAAGGTGGGCAAAGTCAGCCCGTCTGAGCCCCCAAATAGGACACAGACTTTACCACAAAACTCATCTGAGCTCATAGATGAGGATCTAAGCACAGGATTGTGAATCCATGTTTATAGCTTCAAGCCCTCCTTTCATCTTCTGCCCCAGTAACCAAAACCCATAGCTCTCATGTTCGAGGTTATCCTAACTGGCTACTGGAACCCTGGCCATCACTCTTACTTCCAGGTACCAGGGAGGAAGGAAGGGTGAAAACCATTGTTTCTCTGTCCTCTCCCGTTACACAGCTGATTCTAAATAATCACTCAGAGGCTTAATATCAATTGTAAAATGTTTGGGATATAGCTCGGGCCTATTACTTACTAACTAGCTCTCACAACTTAACCCATTTCTATTAATCTATGTTTTTGTCACATGGCTCATGGCTTTACCTGTCCTCTAGCATCTTGCTTCTCTGGTGGCTGGCTCTCGTCCCTCTTTTGATTCTGCCCTTCTTCCTCTATATTTTCAGTTTGGATTTCTCATCTAGCCTTATTCTGCCTTGCTGTAGGCCAAATCAGCTTTGTTACTATGCAATGTGAGCAATACATATTCACAGCGTACAGAAGGATTCTCCCACAGCAGAAGGGGCCAAGTTTAAATGGAGAGTCTCCATCAGATGAGCCATCTATCTCCTCCCCAGAAGTTCACCACTGTTACGTTATACACACTAACCATTCCATGTACATTTTATTATAGATACTACTATTCCACTATTTTATACACACTACCATTCCACGTTCATTTTATTGACTGGAGTTTAGTTAACGGGCTGTACATAATTGTATAATCTGGGCTTTATGATTTTATTTTATTTTTTATTTCTTAGACTGGATGCTTTCTTGCCTCAAAACCAGGATTTTGCTAAAAAAAAAAAAAAAAAAAAAAAAAAAAGGTGATGGCACAGCTAATGATTGCTCGCATGTCTCTTGATGTGTGCTTGTGCTAAATTTTCACTTAGGGAAGCAGGATAAATTCTAGGCAAACATTCATCACATGGAGCAGGCTCTCTGGGAGAGCCCAGAAGTGTGTTTTCACCTGAGGTTGAATGGGCAAAGCCTGGATCACTGGCCACTGTTAATAAGGCACTCAGATGTGTGCTGCTATGATTGGAAGAGGCCCGTGGTTCAGAGAGAAGTCTGTGGGTGGAAACACTGGCATCCAGGGTCCACCTGTGACCTGCCATGAGGCCTTGAGCAGGTTGCTGGTCCCTCTGAGCTCTAGTATTTGCATGCAGCCCATGAGGGCAGCCCAGTGCAACAGGACTGCTGGAAGCGCTAAGTGAAACTTTGGGAAATGCTCGGTGTGGCTAGGTCCCCGAACAATTTGAGCAGTATTGGTGATAAACCTGGAAAACCAGAGCACCAGAGCAGCTTGTTCTTCCTAGTGTGGTTCATCCATCACTTTTCTTGTGTTTCATCTTTCTCTGGACAAATCATAACATTTGTAGGCAAAAGAAGAAGCATGCATATTGGTTTTAACTGTGAAATACATATAACATAAAATTCCCCACTGCAATCACTTTTAAGAGTTCAGTTATCACATACATGTGTGAGACACTACTGTCACTGCCATCCATCCTCAGAACTCTTCATCTTGTAGAATAGTAACTGATCCAATTAAACCCCACCTTCCCATTCTCTGCTCTAGCCTCTGGCCACTTAGCCAGAATAGATAGCACTACTATCTATTCTAAATACCTTGTATGAGGGGAAATCATAGTTTTCCCTTTTTGTGCAGGCTCATTCCCTCAGTGCAACATTTATACAATCTATACATGTTGCAGAACCCATCATAATTACTTTCCTTAAAATTTTCATTACATTTATTTATTTATTTATTTATTTTCATAGTGTGTTTGTGTGCCTGTGTGCCACAGTGGACATATGGACAACTTCCGGAAGTTGGTTCTCCCCCTTCCACCATGTGGGTTCTGGGGATTGTTCTCAGGCTTAACCTCTGAACCACCATGTTGGCCCCTTCCTGTTCTTTTAAAGTAGAATCATAGTCCATTGTCTGATGTACCTCAGTTTGCTCATTCATCTGTCAGTTGAAGGATATCTTGAAGGAGGGGAGGTATGGAATGAGACAACATACCTGAAGCAAACAGTGGTGGCTGGAGGCTCCCTCAGATGAACAAGCTGGGGATGTAGCCATGCTGGCTGCTTTCAGGGCTTCCGGGACCCTCAGATGACTCGGAGTCAGGTTCTAGAGAACTGCCATTGTTAGGATCCTGGGCATTATTCTATAGGCGTAGTGGAACCATGGAAGATCACAAAGCAGCAAAATGAGTAGAGAAACAGCTGTACTTTATCTAGATGATTTTTCTTCCTCTTCAGAAATAAACAAATGAAACTTGGATGAAGGGTTTCCTGGAAGAAGAGACATTTGGGGATATTTGTAGTTGTATGAAATCCAGTAATAAGCAAAGAGGATTCCGATGTCCAGGGCTGGATTTTTGAGAGAGAGAAAACAACCTGGAGCCAGCAGGTGGCGCTGTAGGGCTGAGAATGAGGACTGCTTCAGCACACAGGTCCTCCGGTGCACCAATTCTAGTCTCTTTCCACCAGAAAAGGATGTGGCTCGTCTTACCAGAAAAGATTTCACACCTCTCTCTGCCTCGTTTCCTTCTACCATTCTGCACTTTCTCTTGTTTCCGGGTGGTTTTCTGCTGACCCAGTGAGCAGGGAAGAGGAAAGCTTATATTTGAGACCCCAGCCCTTGCTGAGGTGGTCCCTTCCGTGGTCTGTTTGCTGCTCCACACTGTCCATGTGTGCAGAGATGCTGCTCTTTCTTTCTGTCAGACAGGACAGGCAACCAAGTCCCTTCAGCCAGAAAGTGTGGGCGCCTGTTTGCTGTGCTTGAGGCAGGATGCCTGAAGCAGCCCCCGCCCTTTTGAGATGTCTTCATGTAGGTCTGAGGTTGGCTGAGCCTTTCCTGAGCTCATCTACGAGGATCTCTAAACTATGCTCCATCTCATGGGTTGTTAGATATCTCGTCCCAATGTGAGAGGACACAGTATTAATAACAGTAACCTGAAGGACTGTTGAAAGTACAGGATGCTTTAAAATACTCTTAGTAAAGACAAAATGCTCTCCTTGTTCTCCATCAGCCAGCAAAGTGCCTTACACTCATTCTCCCATTGTGTTAGCATCAGGTGACACATGCTATAGGGATACTGGTTATTGGTGGCTCAGCTTGGTGTGGCACCCCAAATCTTCTCGTTCCAGGTACCTGGACAAGGTAGAGGCACCAACTGAGGCTTGCTGTTCTCATGGCTCAGGACAGAAATGCTATGGGGGCATGATCAAGCCACACATGTAAATTTCACACTCACATTTGCTCATGTCTGTTAGCCAAGGGCAGGATTTCCCAGCCTTGGAGCTGGTGACATTCTTGGCCGATGTTAGTGTTGGCACTTGTGTGAGTTGAGTTTTATGTGATTTGTGTTGTGAGAACTGATCCAGGCACTGTAGGGGGGCTTTCTGTATTGGGTTTAAAAATATTTCCTTTATAACAATGAAGGGGAGAGTGATCTATTTTATAAAAACGGAAGCGGAGATGCCGGACGTTGGTGGCAGGTAAATCCCAGCACTCAGGAGGCAGAGGCAGGCGGATCTTTGTGAGTTCGAGGCCAGCCTGGTCTCCAGAGCGAGTGCCAGGATAGGCTCCAAAGCGTTAAGCCACTGGCCCAGTAACATGGAGTCTGATCCCAGGGACTCTGGCTTTGCTTGAACATAGAGATTTACAGGTGGTTCTGAGATAACTCAGAGATACTGAGTTTTCACTTCCTGTCTAATATGGGTATTTTCCTCCCTCTAGGGGATCCCAACAAGCCCTCAGGATTCAGAAGTGTTAAAGCTCCCGTCACCAAAGTGGCTGCTTCAGTTGGAAATGCTCAGAAGCTGCCCATGTGTGACAGATGTGGTACTGGCATTGTGTGAGTATGGACTTCTCCTGGTGCTAAAGGCTGGGCAGACCACGGAAGTGTGGAAATTCCTGGGTGTTGCATAGCTTGGGGCTAAGTTTACAGATTGACCACAACATGCAGAACTGTTGTGTCGACATGGGAGAGGCTTCTGGAATGCTAGCCCTTCCTATTCACGGCCAGAGGCATGTTATGGGGCCTCTGAAGAAGTGCCAGGCCTCCGCTCTGGAAGGACAATACAGGGCTCAGGTGTCAGGTGTCACTAACGCAGCCCCATTTTCCCTCCCTCCTGCAGGGGAGTGTTTGTGAAGCTGAGGGACCATCACCGCCACCCTGAATGCTATGTGTGTACCGACTGTGGCACCAACTTGAAACAGAAGGGCCATTTCTTCGTAGAGGATCAGATTTACTGTGAAAAGCATGCCCGGGAGCGGGTCACACCACCTGAGGGCTATGATGTGGTCACTGTGTTCCCCAAGTGATTGAGGGGACCGGCCCTGCCTGCACCCACCATCCAGCCTGCTGTACCTGGTTCTCTGAATGTTCTGGCCTCTCCTCCCTGACAGTTCTGTGCTTACCTAGTGTTAGTCCTGCTCGGTGAACACTGTGTTTCGCCTGTGCTGACTCCCACTAGCAGTGTGATGCCTGCTTTTACACTACTGGAAATGGTTTTGTCCCTTGTCCCCTCTCCCGCACCACCATACACCTTCTTCACTTGGGTCTTCTCTGCTGCAAATGGACGTTGGTCACAATGGAACGAAGCCAAATGTAGTATCTCTCACGTTGATTTTTGTTTTACTTAATAAATTTAGACTCTAAAGCAGTGTGTGGCCTCTTAGTTGACCCTGCCTGTGTTCTGTGTGCGGCCTCATGAAATCCAGAGTCTCCCTCTTGGTTTTGGTTTCTTCGTGTGAGAGTCTCGGGCCTTTTTCCTGGACATGAGAAGATTGCTATGAACATGCCGTGTTCCTTTACATCTTTGAGGCCTGCTCTAAGTGTTATTGATGGATGCTAATTATCTTAGTTACTTTTCTCTTGCTGCGGTAAAACACTATGGAGGCAACTTTAGAAGGACAGTTTTATTTGGGCGCATGGTAGTGCCAGGGAGGCATGGCAGCAAGTTCTAAGGCAGCTGGAACAGAAAAGGGCGAGCTCAGGTCCTTAACTACAAGCAGAGAGTGAACTAGAAATGGTGTGGAGTCATTAAACTCTCGAAGTCCACCTCAAGTGACATACTTTAACTCTCCCCTTAAATTTCCCCAGTCAGCACCACAAATGGAGACCAAGTGTTCCATGCCTATGGGCCATTCTCATTCAAACAACCCCGCTAACATATGATGTTTGAGTCCGTTTTAGTGAAGTTGTCCTGGAGTTTGAGGGAATAAAACTTCCTGTCTTGGTAGCCTTTCTCCTGCTGTGATAAACTCCATGTCTAAGGCAACTTATAGAAGAAATTGTTTAATTTAGCCTTCAGTTTCAGGGGTTTCGAGTCCATGATGGCAGACCAAAGGAACAAGCCAGAGTTCCATCTTAGTCCACATGCATGAGGAAGACAGACAGACACAGCAGGGATGGTGTGAGTCTTTTGAAACCTCAAAGCCTGACTCCAGTGACACACTTCCCCCACCAAGACCACATCTCCTAATCCTTCCCCAAACAACAGTACTGTCAACTGGGGATCAAGTAGTCAAACATATGAGCCTATGGGCGCCAGTCTCATTCAAACCACCACACTGCCCAAATAATAGGTGGCTAGCTTCACCAGTTGGTATTAAAGTAAGCCTCAGTATTTCCAGGACATAAAGGTAAGATAAATCAGGATTGAGACCATTAGCAGCAGAGAGCTCAGAGATGGGTAATAGGTGGTTAATATGTTCTTCAGCTTTTCTCTGAAGGGTGCTGATTAGATGTTTGCCATTTACCTAGTTTGGCTGCATGCTTGTGTATCCAGCCCTTTGATATTGTGATGCTGTGCTGCTTCTGAAGGGTTCAGGTTCGAGAATAATGCAGGCACAATACAGCAATCATGCACAAACAAGCACCTCACCTTGCTTTAGGTGAGTTTCCAATTTTTCTTAGGCCATATTCATAGTTATCTATTGCCTGAAGGGACTCTAGCCCACAAACATGGTTCCGATAGGCCTTGTGCTCCTTACCCATTCTCTTTGCCTGTCTAAAAACTGTCCGGTTACATTCCTGAAGCTAGCCCCTGAGGTCCATTTCCTTATTTGGCCAATTCCTCCTCCCTACGATGACTACCAAGGTGCAGCTATCAAAGAATTGAAGTCCATCAATCAACCCCCCCCTTGGTTCACCTAATTAACATGCCCAATTAAAATTGAACACCTCATCCTAACACAGGGTTTCCCTTTTTACATTTATAAGCCATCATTTGCCTATGGGCCATGTCTGTCTCCTCTCTATCCAGAGGCAGTCCTTTGTTCCCATCCCAGGACAAATACCCCTTCCTTCTCCACTGTCCCCTCTTCCCTTCCTCTTATCTCTCTTCATCTGTCTCCTGTCTTTGTCTCTTATTCCCTATCCTCTCTCCCTCTGGGGCAAATAAATCTCCTTTGTGCTGAGAACTTGGTCTTGGGATGTCCTGATTCAACTCAGAGGTCTCCTCCATTGCCCATGGGCATGTCTGATGGGTGCTTTTCCTCAGAAGCTAATCATGCAAACAGGGCTTTAACTTCCAGTAGCTTTAGAGAAAATCCTGGTCAAGGTCAATCATCAATTAATAAAAGTCAAGAAGAAAATCAGAGAGCCATAATGATAGAAGATTAAAAAAAGGCAGAGTCAGGTTTTAGGTCAAGGATTTATAACAATAATACCCCAAATCGGCTAATTCAATGCTTACTCTAATAGTATTTAAATAGATTTTTTTACCACAGATGTTTCAAACTTTAAATGTGATCTGTTTTAAAATTTGTAAAAGGCAAGGAACTTTAAATATTGTGGTTCTGGGAAGTCAACATAAGAAACACTGAATTTGGTTAATTTACAAACATGAAAACATGCCACCTGAGTTAATAATTAGAAGGGGGGGTCATTAAACTTTCAACTTTAACAGTTCTACCATGCCTAAGCCAAGGCTCGGTGTGGCATCATGTTGGTTGAGTACAATAAAATTTAAAATTCCTGTTTCCCTGAGTAATTCGGATCTGTCTAAGGACCCCACTCCTTTTAGGGCTATTGTTGTCTCTTGACAACCTTGAGACCTCTCACTTGAAGGTAGCACATGTCCCCTTGTGTTTTCTCTCCCTCCTGACTACTTGGACAATATATAAGGAAAAATTAATACAATAACACAGCCAGGGACACATTAGACTTGGCCAGAGAAACAGCTATACCATAACTCATTATAGGATCAAACATCATACACTGGTAACCAGGGAAACATCGATCTGAATCTGAAGTTGTTGAATTAAAGAGAACAAAACAAAAATGCTGGGCTCCCAGGAGACAGTACAGACATGGAATTAGCATGGCTCTTAGGATGACCAAAGGAAGCCCAGACTATATAAGACAGACAGAAAGCCATATTTATTGTGCAGAAGGAGAAGCAGGGATTCCATTTTTGGTAGCTCAGGTGTGCTGAAATGGAAGTGTTAGGTAAGAGAAACTCCCCAATGATTGTTCCCTGGGAGGAACTTAAGGATATGCCAAGTCCCAAAGTGACACACTCGGGTGTAATATCAGTGCAAGTGGTTTTTTTTTTTTTTCTTAATTTCCTGACCACTGAATATAATTGGCATAAGCACTTTTGATGATTGATATAGCATCTACCTTGTTCCTTTGCCAATTCAGAACGTGGATGGGTAAACAGTTCAGAGCTGACCTTCCCCTGCAGCTTGGGCTGATTGTCTAAGCTGCAAATAATACAGAAGCGGGCTCTCTAATGTCATCAGGGATGTTGATGCCTGGAATGTTTTAAGCACCAGATATTGTGCTGCAATATCAGGGTAAGTGGTTTTGTTTTGCTTCCTTTATCACATGTGTGTGAGTGTGTCTCCTGCATGTATGCACACCAAAGTACATGTGACTGCAGAGGTTACAAGAGGGCATCAGATCTCCTGGAATTGGAGTTGCAGATCCTTGCAAGCTTTCACGTGGATTCTGGATACTGAGCCCAGGTCCTCTGTAAGAACAGAAAGTGCTTTTAACTGCTGAACCATCTCTTCAGGCCCAAGGGAATTGTTTATATGGAATTCCCCTGCCTTTCTCTAAAGAGATCAGTTTTAACTAGGGTTTCTCTTGCTGTGATAAAACACCATGGCCAGAAAAGCAGCTTGGGGAAGAAAAAGTTTATTTCACTTAACATCACAGTACATCATGGAAGGCAGTCAGGGCAGAATTTCAACAAGGCATGCACCTGGAAGCAGGAGCTGATGGAGAAGTCATGGAGGGGTGCTGCTTACAGACTTGCTTGCTGTGGCTTGCTCAACCTGCTTTCTTATTGTTACCAGGACTGGTAGTCAGGGTTGACTCCACCCACATGGGCTGAGTTCTCCTGCATCAGTCAATAACTAATTAGGAAAATCCAATAAAGACTTGCCATCAGGCCAATATTAGGGAGGCACAGTCTTAATTGTGGTTTCCTCTTCTCATATAATTCTAGTTTGTGTGAAGTTGACTTGAATGGAACTAGCAAGCACAGGATCCTAAGTCATTTTCTCAGATAACAGTATAGTTGAGGCGGGGGAGGCAGAAAGTATTTGTGAAGACAGTTGGTTGGATACAGGTTGAGAGCTGATGATACTCATGGACTCAAAACATCAAGATGGCCTCCTCGTTAAGTGAGGGAACAGAGGGGCCAGTGGTTATTTTTCTGACCTCTGAATATAGTTGGCATTAGCATACTTGGTGACTGACACAGGATATACTTAGTTGCTTGACCAAGGAGACAAGTATTATGATTGTTAGTAAGGAAGTTTGAAACGTTTCATTTCCCTTGAGTAATAAAATGCCTCCCAAATACTCAGTCCCTTTCAAATAAAGAAATGTTCTCCAAAATCCTTAAGGATCACAGTGCCCAAACAAATACATAAATAAATAAAGCCTTGCTTCTCAGGGAACAGAGTGGGACTGGAATGGCATAATTATTGGCATTCTTAGAAAATTCGAGGTTCTGGAGGTAATAGTCTTCAGTTATGTGTTTATTTATTCTGCAGTGTTTGGGTCTAACCCAGGGCTTTGTGCTTGTTAGGCAAGTGCTCTATCACTAATCTCTACTCCTAGTCAACATCTTCATTTAATTCATTAGTCTGATCCACATGAAAACAAGACAGGTCCTGGAAAATGACAGTGAACTCCTGAGAACTCCATCAAGAAGTTCCAGCAGTTGTGGCTTCTGTACCAGGTGTTGTGTTCCTGCAGACAGCTGACCAAGATAATCTCCAGTATATAGTATGTGAGTACTTGTTTGAGAAATGAAGAGGAGCAGTAAAAGGGAAAATGACTGCATCTCTTGATTATTGCATCTTATCACAGGGAGGGCTTCCTTGGACCACAGATGTGGAATATTCCCAATTCGGACCACTGTCAGTATTCATAACTGGAGCACTGTAGAGCATTCTAGGCAAAGATGTGTTACATTTGTGTATGCTGCAGAATATTACTTTAACTATAAAGGTGTGCTGCTTTTGTTTATGATGTATTTGTTTAACAGTGTAAAGATGTATGTTTAATTATGTAAAGATATGATGCATATGTTTCACCTTGTGTGCCTAATGCACCCAATTTATCTAATAAGGAGTTGAACAACCAATAGCTAGGCAGGAGAGGGATATGTTGGGCTGCTAGGGAGAGATAATAAATAGG